GTCAAGTGTGGCCTCTTGCTGTTGAAAATGATCTTGCAGCTCATCAGTGGTTAGTTCATCATTGTTCTCCTCCACCAACTCTTCCACATCCTCCCCACTAACCTCCAACACCAAGGACTTCCCCAATGCCACAACTGATTCCACAACTGGCATAGGCTTCTCAGGGTTAGCCTCAAATCCTTCAAAATCCCTTTTGTCTACACATTCTGGCCACAGTTTCTCCCAAGCAGAGTTCAAGGTCCTCTTAGTCACTTCCTCCCAAGCCTTACCTATAATGTTTACACAAGTGAGGATGCTAAAGTGATCTCTCCAAAACTCTCTTAGAGTAATTGAGTTTCTGTGGTCACTACCAAGCACCTTTCAAACAGCTTCTGTGTAGAGTTTTTTAAAGTTTGCAATGACCTGCTGGTCCATGGGCTGCAGGAGAGGAGTGGTATTAGGAGGCAAAAACTTGACCTTAATGAAGCTTATATCCCTAGAAAGTCGCTCTGCCACGTCTGAAGGATGACCAGGAGCATTGTCTAATACCAGGAAGCACTTAAGGTCCAATTTATTTTCCAGGAGGAAATTTTTCACAGTGGGGGCAAATGCATGGTGTAACCAGTCATAGAAAAGGTCTCTAGTGACCCATGCCTTACTGTTTGCCCTCCACAGCACACACAAATTAGCCTTGAGGACATTGTTTTTCCTGAACGCTCTGGGAGTTTCAGAGTGATACACCAAAAAAGGCTTCACTTTGCAATCACCACTAGCATTAGCACACATCAACACAGTAAGCCTGTCTTTCATAGGCTTATGTCCTGGGAGTGCCTTTTCCTCCTGAGTAATGTACGTCCTGCTTGGCATTTTCTTCCAAAACAGGCTTGTTTCGTCACAATTAAACACTTGTTCAGGTTTCATTCTTCACTGTCTATGTACTCCTTGAATTCCTTCACATATTTTTCAGCTGCTTTTTAGTCAAACTGACAGCCTCACCATGCCTTATCCACACTATATATGCCACTACGATTCTTAAATCTCTCAACCAACCTTTGCTGGCCTTAAATTCACTCACATCACCACTAGTTGCAGGCATTTTTCTAATTAATCATCATGCAACTTCCTAGCCTTTTCACATATGATAGCTTGAGAGATGCTATCTCCTGCTATCTGTTTTTCATTTATCCACACCAATAACATCTCTCAACATCTTCTATCACTTGTGATCTCTGTTTGAAAACAAAGTTGCACCTTTGGCAAGAACAGCTTCCTTGATTGCCGTTTTCTTGGCCACAATAGTAGCGATGGTTGATTGGGGTTTTGTGTACAACCTGGCCAGCTCGGAGACACGCACTCCACTTTCATACTTAGCAATAATCTCTTTCTTCATATCCATAGTAATTCTCACCCTTTTTGCTGTAGGGTTGGCACTAGAAGCTTTCTTGGGGCCCATGGTGACTTATTTTGCAGGTGTAATCACTAAAAACGCTGTGATAATATGAAATGTTCCGATTGTACGTTTGGATGCGACAGCGGTGGCTGGCTTGTAAACACTGGCACCCACGGGACAAGTGAGGCATGCTCAGGCCGCAAGTGGATGTGTCTTGAATGGAACGAATCGCGTTGGGCGAGTTTTTTAGCGCTAGCCGAGGCAAAATTTTTGCATTAAAATGTATCGCTAGCCGGATTTAACATTATGCAATGCGTTCTTTAGTCAATGTTCATATATACATTCTTTGAATGTAACACAATTATAGCAAAAACACTAGTATCATCATACTGTTTACAAAACTTGTTTACACAAACAATCTAAAAATTTTTTATTACAACTTTTCAATGAACAACAATTACATATTCACTTATATTTTTGTAAGATATGAAGGTGTAAAAAAAAGTTATTTGCTTTTTTGGGGCTCCCAGGAATGTAACCCTATTTATCCCCACAAGTTTTTCAGTTTATCTAACGCTAATTTTATCTAACACAGCATTTTCAGGAATGTAACCACTGTGTAATATAAAGGTCTACTGCACATTTGCAAAAAATTCAATCAATACAAATTTCAATTACTCCGCTACAGAAAACTCTAGGAAGTAAAAATTGGATCAGAGTATAAAATAGATTCCAACTACACAGTAGAGTAAAAAACTACAGTGGACCCTCAGTTAACGACGCCATCGGATAGTGATAAAATCGGATACTGATACGTTTCTGCGTCAAAATATTGGCTCGGCTAACGATGAAAAACTTAGTTAACGACATTTGTCCAGAACGTGTCCACGCGGCCTGGGCTGCCCACAGCTGCCCAGCCACTATGTACACCCAGTGTGCCATTGTTTACAAGCCAGGGCGGATGATTCCATGAGTACATGCGATACATTTTGTATTATTCCATTGTTTTTAGTGCTTGTAACTGCTAAATAAGCCACCAAGGGACCAAAGAAAGCTTCTAGTGTCAACCCTGTGGTAAAAAGGGTGAGAAATACTATCGAATTGAAGAAAGAGATAATTGCAAAGTACCAAAGTGGAGTGCATGCCTCCGAGCTGGCCAGGTTGTATAATAAACCCCAATCCACCATCGCTACTATCTTGGCCAACAGAAACGCAATCAGGGAAGCTGTTGTTGCAAAACGTGCAAATGTGCTTACAAAACAGAGATCGCAAATACTTGAAGATGTGGAGAGACTTATTGGTGTGGATCAACGGATAATAATTATCAGGAGATAGTCTTTCACATTCAATCATATGTGAAGAGGCAAGGCAGTTGCATGATGATCTAATTAAGAAAATGCCTGGAACTAGTGCTGACATTAGTGAATTTAAGGCCATCAAAGGTCTGAGAGATTTAAGAATCGTAGTGGCATACACAGTGTGATAAGGCATGGTGAGGCTGCCAGTTGTGACCAAAAAGCAGCTGAAAAATATGTGCAGGACTTTAAGGAGTACATAGAGGCTGAACAATTAAAACCCCAACAAGTGTTCAGTTGTGATGAAACAGGCCTCTTTTGGAAGAAAAAGGCACTCCCAGGACACAAGCCTATGAAAGACAGGCTAACTCTCATGTTTTGTAGTAATGCTAGTGGGGATTGCAAAGTGAAGCCTTCACTTGTGTATCACTCTGAAACTCCCAGTGTGTTTAAGAAAAACAGTGTTGTCAAGCCTAATTTGTGTGTGATGTGAAGGGCAAACAGTAAAGCATGGGTCACTAGGGACATTTTCCATGATTGGTTCTATCATGTGTTTGGCCCCAGTGTGAAAGAATACTTCTTGGAAAATAAACTGGAACTCAAGTGCCTCCTGGTATTAGACAATGCTCCTGCTCATCCTCCAAACTTGCAAGAGTGAATTGTGGGGGAGATGAGTTTCATAAAAGTAAAGTTTTTGCCTCCTAACACCACTCCTCTCCTGCAGCCCATGGACCAGCAGGTCATTTCAAATTTCAGAAACTGTACACCAAAGCAATGTTTCAAAAGTGCTTTGAGGTGACCTCAGACACTGAAATGATCCTAAGAGAGTTCTGGAAAGATCACTTCAGTATCCTCAGTTGCATAAACTTTATAGGTAAGGCTTGGGAGGGAGTGACTTACAGGACTTTGAACTCTGCTTGGAGAAAACTGTGGCCAGAATGTGTACAAGAGAGGGATTTTCAAGGGTTTGGGGCTAACCCTGAGGAGCCTATACCAGTTGTGGAATCTACTGTGTCACTGGGGAAGTCCATGGAGTTGGAGGTTAGTGGCGAGGATGTGGAAGAGTTGGTTGAGGACGAAGATGATGAGCTAATCACTGATGAGCTGCAAGAGCATCTGCAACAGCAACAGACCACAGCTGAGGATATTGCTTCAGAGGGGGGAGAGAGATGGAGGAAGTTGCCTTCTTCATTGATTAAGGGCATTTGTACAATGTGGACAAAGGTGCAAACCTTTATGGATGAATATCACCCTGACAAGCTGCTGCAAGCCATGCTGGTGATTTTACAATGACAATGTTGTGTTCCATTCTAGGGAAATCTTAAAGACATGCCAGAAATAGAGCTCTATGGACAGAGTTTTGGTGTGACAGAAGTCCAGTGACTGTCAAGTTGTTCCCAGTGGCATTAAAAAACAAAAGGAAAGTAACCCCAGAAAAGGACTTGCTACCTAAAGTCCTTATGTAAGGGGATTCCCCTTCCAAACAATAATACACCTCCATCATTTCCTCTCCTCCCATCTCATCACTCATTAATAAATCTTCAATAAAGGGAAGTTTCATTTATTCTTCATGTATTTATTCTTCATGTCTCATTGTTTTCTGTGTAGGAAAATGTATATTTCATGTGAATTTTTTTTTTTAAATACTTTTGGGTGTCTAGAACTGACTAATTGGATTTCCATTATTTCTTATGGGGAAAATTAAATTGGATAACGATAAAATCGGTTAAGGACAAACTCTCTGGAAAAGATTAAAATCGTTAACTGAGGGTCCACTGTAATGTGAAGGATCTGGGAGTGATAATGTGAGAGAATCTCACTTTCAAAGATCACAACAATGTATCTATCACATCTGTTAGGAAAATGACAGGATGGAAAATGAGAACATTCAAAACTAGGGATACCAAGCTAATAATGATTCTCTTCAAATTGCTTCTTCTCCCTAGGCTGGAGTACTGCTGTACACTAATGATTCCTTTCAAGGCAGGCAAAACTGCAGAGGCCTGGTCATGGACCTGGCTGCAGGGGGATTGACCCTTGGAACACCCTCCAGGTATACTCCAGGTATAAACAATAGCTTTATAAGAAAGCATGGTTTAAAAGGACACGTAAGCAAGCACTAGGACATATTTATTGGAAAACGTTTCGGTCCTGGGACCTTGATCAAGGTCTCAGGATCAAAACATTTTCTAATAAACCTGCCCTAGCATTTGCTTATGTGTCTTTCTAAACCAACTTGTTGGTATCTGTTACCAAGGTTTATACCATAAGAGAGCATACAATGAAACTACTTGTCATCACATATGTACCTCTTCCAAAACCAGATACATTTCAAAGTGTGTAACATATTACTATGACCCAACCTTATCACTGCAGGGCACTACACCAACCATGATGTTGCCACTGAAGACCTTTCCATTCTTACTCAGGGCTTTTCTGGCCTGTAGTTTTGTCTGAAATTCAAAAACCATGCAGTTAAAATATGAGTATTCAAAACAGAAAATATACATTATGTAATAAAATTAAACTGTGGTACAGTATATTACATGCAAAATTTCAAATGGTCATAATTACAAAATTTATATCTGTGCCATTGAAAGGGACACCACAATCTGATATATAATGACAAACCTGTATGCAGGTCATAATAAGGCTGCTGATATGTGCCTGTATAATTAGATGTCCGAGATGAATGAAATTGTCAACTGTGTGTTTTGTTATTAGCTGATCAGTTTTTCAGAATTTTTTTTTGTGTTCATGTTCCCTCCGAGTTCTGAGAATTTAGCAGTACTGATCTGTGGGCGCCAGATTTGCCTTACTGTTAATTACTTTTTTGTAAATATATTTATTCTTCCTCAGAATCCGTAGAGTGCATGAATACAGATCGATCGATCAATTCCATCCCTTATTATATGATTTGTACTTATAAGTAGTAAAACATTACGTTAAAACTCATTATGTTAACATCAACTATGATACCATCCATTAGTTCTAAGTTACATATGCCTTTGTTATTGTATAGAATCAGCCCAGAACCACCTGCCTGTTCAGCCTATAGCATAGTAGTGTATGTTGAGACGACATACGTAACATGACCGAGCTGTCAGCATAGTTGCTGATCCCCCCTACATGTGTTCTATAGCTTATCTGAGTATCACAGTACCATCCATATGTTTTATAGATATGACCTCTTACTAGGCCTAGGGACCAGTTTGTGTGACGTCACGTGATGCGCATGTGTGTGCGAATACCTCTAACTTCCTTAGTCCACGCATAGGTCTACCAGGCAAAGCACGGCAGGTTGGGCTCCCTTATCACAGTCTGAGAATATACAGTGTTACCATCCACAAGTGTGTTTATCTACATCCATCTATCTCCAAAGAACCCCCACGGCATTAAATTCCATAGTGTTTCTCACTTTCTTTACCACAGGAACTTTACTAGTAACTTTCTTTGGAGCCATGGTTACTTATTTCACAGTTGCACTGCAAGAAAAACCACTAAAAACAATGGTAAGCAAGTGAAATGTTTGGATGTATGAGCAGAAGCCTCCTCAGCCACCGAGAGACAAAGCCAAACTGAAGCGTAAGCTGCCCCAGCCGGCAGATGGACGCATCCAAAACCGCCAATAACCAAGCGAACGGCCGATAGCCGGGCACCAAAAAACCCGCTGATAACCGAGCTGGCTGATAACCAAACCTGCCAATAACTGGGGGTCCACTGTATAACATTTATCAGTTCATCAAAAACATAGCAAAAGCATGGGAGTTAGTCACAGCTAAGTGTATGAACGGCGTCTGGAAAGAAGTGTAATGCCTGGTTTCTTCAAGATTTTCATGGCTTTGACAGCAAAGAAGAGTTAAGTGTGGTTAGAGGTGTGATTTTAACCCTTTGAGGGTAGACAGGCCCTCTCCCAGACTTGTTCTCAGGGTCGGCCAAATTTAAAAAACAAAAAAAAAAAAAAAAAATTCTCTTATGAAAAGAGAGAGAATCTGTTCCCAATCACAATGACACCAAAAGTTTGAAATTTGATGGAAAACTTACAGAATTATGCTCTTGCGAAGTTAGCGGTCTCGGCGATGTTTACACATCGGCGATTTTGCCCACTTTGAGCCCCATTTTCAGCCAATTACACTGTACTAGTCGACAAAAAACATGAATATTTCGCTAGAACTCCATTTTTTCTATCCAATGAGGGCAAGAAACCACCCATTTCTCAATTTCAACTATACAGTACAGTGGTCAGATTTTAGCAATTTTGCCAATTTCACACAAATTTCAAAAGATGCCAATTTCCGAATAGGGTCCAGAATAAACAAGAAAGACATTCCTAGCACTAAAATGACATTTCCTCTGTTCATTAGTCACGTCTCAAGGCCCCTCTTATATTCTTTTGCTTTCCACTTTGAATTTTTATTCTCACAAAAAAATAGAAGATTTACTGTTATGCAGACTACTGCATTAGTGTAAAAAATGGTATAAATAATATTGGCGCACTTGCAAAAGAATATTAGACTCACCAGTTGACGTGTATTGGACGCTTGGCATGATTTGTTTACTTTTGAACTTTGGTAAAAATCGAACATTTCTGCTACTTTGAGATCAATTTCAAGGTCCTTTTTATTGTAAAACCAGTCAAAATCATCTAAATTTCTGTAATACGTCTTCCATTCTATAAAATGAGACCAAGAAAACTGGAATACAGCAATAAATACCATACGAAAATACAGTGCAAAGTCGCTGTTTTATTCCAAAAAAACGGTCAAAGTTTTTTTTTTCTCATTATGCACTGTGTGCTGCAGGATTTTTTTATACTGACCACACAGACCCATTCTTTCATATGTAGGCCTACTAGCTTTCTCCCACTAGAGTTGAGGGCACTAGAATTTTGGCGTACTAGTACGTCAAAAACCCTGGGTCGTAAGCCGTACTGGTACGACCGAAACTCTCAAAGGGTTAAAATTGGCTAACGAACTTGAACTTGAATGTGATGTGGATGAGATTGAAGAACTTTTGACAGAAGAAGTTCAAGAGTTAACGAATGAAGAACTCCTGATAATAGAAGAAAGAAAAGCAGAAGAACAAAGACAGAGAGAAGACGAACAAAAAGAAGAGGAGCCTGAAAGGAAGTTCTCGGTGAATGAATTATCACAGTGTTTTACATTGATAAACCAAGGGCTACGAAAATTAGAAAATATGAACCCTAACTTTGAAAGGTTTGTCAATACTGAGAGAATGGTACAGGATGCAATGCGTCAATACAGAGACATTTATGATGAAAAGAAAAAAAGGAAAATTCAAACAAATCTCTGTATGTTTATCAAGAAGAGTGCTCCCCACCTCCTCCCACCCCTACCCCTTCAGAGGAAGAAAGCATAAACGATTCCCAACCAAGAACTAGTGGGCTGTAAATGTGTCCCAATCCTTATTTGTATTTCATTTATACTGTATTTCAATATTTTGTACTTTTCTGTTCATTCAGTTTCTTACATTTGAAGTGAATTCGAACACATTGTTTTGTGTGCAAATGTTCTCAGAAATAAACAAATGTTTGTGTTGTACACAGTGTTTCTCCTAAACCTTACAGTATAAACTACAGTACTAACACCATAAAAAGTAAAGTAAAAAAGGAGATATTAAAATGAAACAATAAAATAAAATCATTACAAAAAGTGTGATGTTGATATTCAGTGTAAGGTCTGACTTACGTCCATTCTGACTTACAACCGGTTGGTTGGAACCAAGCTCGGTCGTAAGTCGGATGGTACCTGTATACATTTTCCTACACACAAAAAGGATACATGCACAATATACTGTAATAAATGAAGAATAAATGACACTTACCTTTAACCCCTTGACTGTCGCGGTCGTATATATACACCTACCATCCGACTTACGACCAAGCTTGGTTCTGACCAACCGGTCGTAAGTCAAAATGGACATAAGCCGAACCTTTGAAAATTGCCGACATGCTGGGTAGGGCATAATGTCAAACCTTTCCTATATAAACTACCTATATAGTACTGTAATGCAATGTACCATCATTATTTCATTCTTTTTACCATAATTTACTTCTATTGTTATATTTTAATTATTTATGTACTGTATACAGTGGACCCCCGGTATTCGATATTAACCCTTTGAGGGTTTCGGACGTACTAGTACGGCTTACGACCCAGGGTTTTTGACGTACTAGTACGCCTAAATTCTAGCGCCTCAAATCTAGTGGGAGAAAGCTGGTAGGCCTTCATATGAAAGAATGGGTCTATGTGGTCAGTGTGCACAGTCTAAAAAAAATCCTGCAGCACACAGTGAATAATGAGAAAAAAAAAACTTTGACCGTTTGCACTGTATTTTCGTATGGTATTTATTGTTGTATTCTAGTTTTCTTGGTCTCATTTTATAGAATGGAAGACATATTACAGAAATTTAGATGATCTTGACTGGTTTTACAATGAAAGGTACCTTGAAATTGAGCTCAAAGTAGCAGAAATGTTTGATTTTTTCCAAATTTCAAAAGTAAACAAATCGTGCCAAGCGTCCAATACACGTCAACTGGTGAGTCTAATATTCTTTCACAAGTGCACCAATAATATTTATACCATTTTTTACACTAATGCAGTTAGACTGCATAACAGTAAATCTTATATTTTTTGTGAGAATAAAAATTCGAAGTGGAAAGCAAAAGAATATAAGAGAGGCCTTGAGATGTGACTAATGTCCAGAGGAAATGTCATTTTAGTGCCAGGAATGTCTTTCTTGTTTATTCTGGACCCTACTCGGAAATTGGCATCTTTTGAAATTTGTGTGAAATTGGCAAAATTGCTAAATTCTGACCACTGTACTGGATAGTTGAATTTCATAAATGGGTGGTTTCTTGCACCCATTCGATAGAGAAAATGGAGTTCTAGCGAAATATTCATGTTTTTTGTCGACTGGTACAGTGGAATTGGCCGAAAATGGGGCTCAAAGTGGGCAAAATCGCCGATGCGTAAACATCGCCGAGACTGCTAACTTCGCGAGAGCATAATTCCTTAAGTTTTCCATCAAATTTCAAACTTTTGGTGTCCTTATGATCGGGAAAAGATTCTCTATCTTTTCATAAGAGAAAATTATTTATTTTTTTTTTTTAAATTTGGCCGACCCTGAGAACGAGTTTCGGAGAGGGCCTGTTGACCCTCAAAGGGTTAATCCGTTCCTGAGAGCTCACCGAATACCGATAATATCGAAAACCGAATCAATTTTCCTCATAAGAAATAATGAAAATCAAATTAATCCGTGCAAGACACCCAAAAGTATGAAAAAAAAAAATTTTACTACATGAAATATTAAGTTAAATGCAATAGAATAATTACAATAACAATAAAATAATTGACATTTACCTTTAATGAAGATCTGGTGATGATTGATGGGATGGAAGGAGGGGAGAGGTGTTAGTGTTTAGAAGGGGAAT